ACAAAATACAAAATTCGATTTTAGACTTATAACATTATTTAATCTAATTATAAAATACAAATATGTCTTAAGATTGTTATTCAAAATGTATATATAATTAGATTATATTAAAGTGTGTAAAGTGTAACTTATGCATTAATCTAAATAGAATATATATAAATAAAAATCAGTACACTTACATTGACTTAGAACAACACGAATAGTAAAATTCAAAAAAACAGAAATTCAATAATAAAAATAATAATCCAAGCCCTATATAATCACAATTTTCTTAAGACAGATTTGCTCTCTCTCGGTGCTTAAGGTTGATAAACAATTATCTCCCAAGATAGAACGAATTTCGTTCTTGAAGATACAACATTTAAATCTCCAAGACTTTAATGAACACAATTCTGTGTTTATATTTGAACCGAACCTAAAATAATAATGCAGTAATATGCATACAGAGAGAGAGAGAAGAAAGACTGAATACTTAATTTAATATTTTGAATAATTGAGAGAACTAGAATAAGAGAGCAATTCTTGAATTGTTCAATGATATGTTTTGGGCGTGTATGGAATCACCTACTTGTAGTCTCCCTAGTGGCTTTCATAAAAATGGCGTAACTATATGTAATGATACCTTTTAGTTCAAAAGGTATCAACGATGATTTTATGAAAAGGTACAATCATTTGAAATAGTATTTTTTAGTCCAAGAGATATCAATGATAATTTTATAAAAAATTGTGACTATTTGTAATGATGTCTTTTAATCCAAAGGTGTTAATGGTGATTTTATAAAAAGATGTAACTTATTTGGATTGATGTCTTTAATTAAAAGTCACCAATTTTGAATTAGTAGTCTTTCATGTCATATTCACTTCACACTTTTTTAATTTCTCCCAAAAGTCACAAAGACTTTAACTACCCTTTCAATTGATCTCAAAAGTCACAATACTTTAACAATTTCTCGTTCAATACTTAATTATTATTTTTAAATAAATATACTATTATTTCGAACATATCTATCTAGAGTATTGTTATTGGGACCTAAAAATCTAACATAATTTACTGACATAATAATGTGACTTCACTATGACATTTGAATTGACTGTGGGCTCCATCAAACATTGGAATTTGCTCTTAATCCATTGGTTCCAATGCAACCACATCATTATGTCAGTAAATTATGTCAGATTTTTAAGTCTTAATAATATTATTCATCTATCTAATATTATAGTTAACAAGTTAAATTATGAACTTATTAAGGCACAACAACAATCAAGATTGATTCACTTTTTATTTATTTTAATCTAATAATACAAAATTCATCTCAATTTTTTTTTTCATTCAAAAAATCATCGTTTTTGCATGACTTTCAATATTAGGCATTTTAACTAACACATCCACCAATACCAAACAACCTCATTAATTCACCCAACAAAACTAAGTCACAATCCAAGAACTCACCAACATACTCAACCAAAACAATTGAGAATTCATCTTAAACTCATAAGACATACCCAAAGCGATAAATCTTGATCGTTGACCAAATTCGAATCAAGCACCACTAGTCTCATTGAATTCCGATTCTAATCCATTTTACTGTTACTATTATTTTTTAGCATTTCCTTGTACTTTAAAGGCACAACAATCAGCCTACTCTAAATATTTTATTATAACCTGTTTTACATCATGTAATCCGTCTGTTTTATATATTCGTATGGTATCAAAGGCATGCATCAAAAAGTAGGAGTCTTCTCTACACACGTTTATCCAAGAAAGTACCACAAAGACATGGCAGCTCCAAATTGAAAAAAATAATATTATTATTGCAAACATTAACTTGTATTTAGCCTAATTTACGTGGATTAAAACATAAAGTCTAGGAGAGGGTAGGAAAATGTAATCACCTACACTTTCGATTGCACCTTCACCGTACTTACACAATAGGATTTGCATAGGTTTTTCACTGCTAGGCTAAGCTTCCCCCATATAATTCTTATTGGCAAGGACCTCGCAATTTACGAGACATTAGAAATTTCGTTTTATTTTCATAAAAATAAATTAAAAAATTTAATGTTTGAGAATTGAAATTGATGAAAAGATTTTTTTTTTTTTTGGGAGGCAAACTACGTGTTTGCCATGTGACCATCCAAATATATTTAATTTAGTGATCTTATTTAGTGACACGATAGATCATAGTCATTGAATTGATTGTGAGTCTTAACTATTTGTGGAGTTTGCTGTCAATCTAATAACAGAGAACGATAAGATCATCAAATAAAATTATTAAATAAAGTTCATGTAACATTGTTCTTTGTTCTAACATCTAAAATTGACGAAAACATTTAATTGAGATCAAATTGATAAGTGAGGGACTAAATTAAAATAATTAAAGTTCATAAAATAATTTAAAAGGTTAATTACAAAGGATCACTTTAAGTTTAGGTCACATTCAATCAACTCCTTCTAATTTTTGTTTCAATAATTTACCACCTCAAAGTTTAAATATTTGTCAATTAAGTCAAATCATTAATTTTGACAATGAAGAATGATAAAAAATAGTCATTTGCAAGTCACGTGATTTCAAATTTTATAAAGAGATAAGATTACCCTTCACATCAATTATCTTGAAAAGAAGAATGTAGAGTTTTTTTAACTTGTGGAAAAAAGTACGAATTCAAGGTAATTTTCTCTGTTTAATAAATCTAAAATCATTTGACTTAATTTTCATTATTTTTTATTGTCGAAACAAACAATTTGAAAAATATACAAACTTTGAGGAGATAATTGATTGAAATTCAAACCATAGAGAGTTGATTGAGAATTGATCCACACTTAAAAGGTGCATTTTATAATTAACTGTATTTTAAAACAAGAGATTGCACTAATTACGAAATTTATTCAAAAAATATTCTAAAATGACATCACACAACCCAATTGAGACAGTATTGAACTAGAATAAATTGTAAATTCAGATATTTTGAATTTGAATTTTGGTAACTCATAAATTATAAATTTAGATGTCTTGAATTTGAATTTTGGTAACCCTTAATTTTGACTTGAATAACTTATTTTTAACCGGATAAAAAATAAATTTGAATGACTTATTTTTAACCGGATAAAAAATAAAATTAGTTGCGATACGCTTGTGAGAGATTAAACCAAAAAAATAAAAAAAATAGGGCGGCAGTATTTGATTGGGACCCATACTTCGATTCTACTTCGCTGCTCCCTCCTTGCAGCACGCACACGCCAGGTCCAGTTTGTGTGCATTGTCCTCGCGTATTATAGTATTCAAGAGGCCGCGTTTTCGTTGAAACACCGCTATCCAGGCGCTCGCTTGCCTCAACAAGGACCACTAGAAGAATCCTCATTGCTTCTTCCCTATCCCACCTTGAACGCTTCAACATGACAACATGAAAGGCGAATCACCCAGGAAGGTAATGTATATAGTCTATAACTTTTACTAATGTTTTATGAAAAGACCAAGTGTTTGTTCAAAGTACTAAACCAAAGTATGCGTCATTGTTTACACGCTAATAGCTCTATAAAAACCCTGCTGTGTGGTCTTTCTGATCATGGGTTGTTGATATATAACCACGGCAACGCTTATTTATCTCCATTATTGACATTTCATGCACTGCTGCTTAACCCAAAATCTCTATTCATATTTTTACAAAAGGTTAATAAGAAAAGGTTGTATACGTCCTAACTTTGTTCCAAACAAGCCTTGTGTTGGTATTCTCTCCTCTTGGTTTGGTATTTGAAAAGGTGAGTAAATATGTGAAGATAGGCCTTTGTATATATGTTGAAAATTGCATGGTTTTTCTCTGCGTTGCTAGTTTATTATTTGCTTGAGAGTTAGCTGAATGGGTGTGCTGGGTTGGCCCAGCGCACGGAGTGCCCGCCAGTGCGGGGTGTCAGATGTAACTGTTTCTACGACTTGAACTTATGACAGGCAGGTCACAAATGAAGCAATTTTACCGTTCATGAAGCCCATCCTCATACAATAGTATGTAATATGTATGCAACTGTATAATATGAAAGTCGGTATGATGTATTGACTCTAAGACTCTTGAGTCCCATATTTGACTTCTCTGGCGGAAAAGCCTTTTCTTACTATCCATTAGTTTGCATAGTATCTGTAGCTGATAAACTGGGGGGCTCAAGTAAATTTGAGGCCTAGAGTAAAAATATTAAATGAAGGTCTTTTATTTTTAAAAAAAAATTAATTTATTTGTAATTTTGAGAGGAAAACAAAATAAAGATATGTTAATATTGTCAAGAAAGAGATTTTAACTTTTATTTTTATTTTTTACCACGGGAAGGGAGAGAGAGTCTGTTATATAGATATATATATATATAAAGAAAGAGAGAAAGAGATAGAGTGGGTAGAAGTAAATATGAGTTGACTTTTGAGTATTTTTTTATTTTTTTATTCTAAGTTTTTAATGTTATGGATTTGATTATAGGCCCAAATTATTGTAATAAAAATTTTGATTAGATTTAATTTTTTGGAATTTTTTTATAAGGCTTAAAATTTAATGGATTTTTTTTTTTTTTTTGTGGGCTAGTGATGTACCTAAAATTATGAGGCCTTTTAAAAATATGGGGCTTAAAGTCCTTGCATTTTTTTCATACTGTTGGGCTGGCCCTGCTCATAAATTCTAAAAACAATATAAAGGTAGATATATAGGGTGATATTAAGTGCATAACTTATGTGGTTGCAGTGTTTTAATTTAACTTTTATCGGCTCTAAACACAGTAAATGAATCAAATTTCCTAAACTCTCTCTTTCTCCAATCTGCAAGTTATTGTTTGAGTTGGGTTTATATACAAAAACAAACATATCTCCAACTCGGTAAGCTCATCTTCCCAAGGTAGAGTGGAATACACGAGCACTTTTTAATGCTTGTCTGAGACCATTCACCAGGTGATCCCTAGGTTGCAGCACGGTAGTCCTGATTGAACTAACTAGTTGCTTAGCTAAACTCGTGACATGGTTTATTTATCAATGAACTGTGGCACACTGGGTCCATTATTTTGTTTATTGGACTTGCTGACTGGCAGCATCATTGTTCCTTCAGGTGCCACGGTTCGAGTTGCGACCCCAGTCTCTAGCAATTGCATGTCGATCATGACAAGTTCATCATCAGGTGTGGAGCAAGTGGTTCCTGAAAATAGAATTCAGGAGATAAAATTGCTTAATGCATCTGATGATGCCTATGGAGGAGTCACTGTAAACATGAAGGAGACTATGGATTCTGATGACTTCAGTTCTCTGCTCAGAGCTTCAATATCACAATGGAGGCAACAGGTAGTTATTTCAATGAACTTATTTTCCTTCAGAAATGAATTAGGCTTAAATAGCAATGTATCCAAGGAATGGAATGTAGGACTGAATAATTAATCTTTAGTTCTTTCGGGGAAACTAATTATATTTTTCTTCAGTATGCATCTGTTTTTCTGTCTTTTTCAACATACTTATTTTTGGGGGATCTTTTTGCCTTCAAGTAAAAGTTCATCTGTTCATTTATGTTTCAGGGAAAGAAGGGTATCTGGATCAAATTGCCTATTGAACATGTGAATCTTGTTGAGCCTGCAGTCACGGTAAAGACACTTCTCAAAAGTAATTTTAACTTCATAGCTTCTGGGAACTAAACTCTGAATTGTAAATTTGGTATTTGAAACTATTAATAATCACTTTTAAAAATAGAAACAGAAATCTGTTAACTTAACTTGATAATCTGGGAGCACAACCTCCCCCCCACCCCCCTTCTTTCTTTCCGGGGGCAGCTCTTCTTTTTATGTTTCATTATATGATCCTCCTAATTAACCTTGCAGGAAGGATTTTGGTATCATCATGCTGAACCAGCTTACTTAATGCTTGTGTATTGGATCCCCAAAACTCCTCATACTCTACCCGCAAATGCTTCACATCGAGTGGGTATTGGTGCTTTTGTCATGAATCATAAGAGAGAGGTATTTCTCCAGCTATTTAATAGACTGCCTTACCCTATTAGAACATCAAGTCTTTATTAGTATTTTCTCCTGTGATGAGGTGGGAGTTTGTGTTCTAAGTTTAAATCATTTCATTTCTCAAGGTCCTTGTAGTCCAAGAAATTATGGGCGCATTCAAAGGTACAGGGGTCTGGAAGTTTCCTACCGGAGTCGTTGACGAGGTATGTAGCTTAGGTTGCGGAGGCTTGTCGATTTCTAATAAATTGTTGCATGTCTTGTCGCAACAAGATTGAGTTTTTTTTCCCCCCACGTTACAGGGTGAGGATTTATGTGAGGCTGCAATCAGGGAAGTGAAAGAAGAGACAGGAGTAAGTTATGAAATCTTCATATAATGTACTGTCAATGTTTTGAAAACTTCACATGCGTTTAAGAAGCTATTATTAATTTAAGGCTGGCTAATTTTTACTTCAGATTGAGACAGAATTTGTGGAAGTCCTTGCATTCAGGTAACAAGCTTGCTTGGTTTGTACTCTTTCAATTTCTAGCACTTCTTAGCACATTTGCCCTGCAGTTGGTGTTTTCATGAAAAAAATATTTTTACAAGTGTGATTTTCTGACAAAAAAGTTATTTTTATGAAAATTCCTAGGAGTAAGTATGAGAAATGTTGGTATGTCATCCAAATTTGCATTCTAAATTATAGAACCTTTTTTAACTTGTATTTATTACAGGCAAAGCCACAAGTCATTCTTTGGCAAGTCCGATTTGTTTTTCGTCTGCATGCTGCGTCCACTCTCGTTTGATATACAGATACAGAATTTGGAGATCGAGAGTGCACAGGTAAATACTGGTGGACAGTGGTCAGTTATGTGTATAATCAGCTTTTGAGCTAATTCTGTAACGAGTTGAAAAAAATACTAAAGTGTCATCCGTCTCTGTTTGGTGCTTTTCAGCCTCTTAATGCATGCACTCCCTATTTGGTTTTTCACTATAGAAGTATGAAATTAAATTTCAGAATATGGAGTGCAGGGAGATAATAATAAGAAATGATTGACTAGGTACCAGTTTGCAGTACTAACTGAGGTTCATCCTTTGTTAATTTGCTCTTCCTATTTATTGTTCTATCTGGATGTTATACTCTGATAATTCTGTTTAGTGATTTATGAACTGATAGTTGAACTGAAAGCAGAGAGAAAATGATGGAAAACTTTTGTCCCCAACTCTTTTGTCGTATGTCCATAAACTTGTGTCCTTGCAATTAGCATGGCGCTATGTAATACCTGTTGCAGGCAAACAGGATACCAGTTGTTGGGTGTTACAAGAGAAATCTGCTCTTGAAAAATCAAGTCCAAGACTAGCTGGATGGTGGTATATTATTGGAGTAATTGATTTCAAGTTTCTTGGCCTGTTTAATTAACTGGGATGTTTAAAATCTGCCATCATGTCAAGCTGTGCTGTAAGAGGATCAAGGGCAGATACATAGGGCAAGAGGGAGAGACAGTGAGGCTATCAAATTTGTTTTGCCATTATCGCTAATCGTATTAATTATATTGATTAGTCTAAAACCACCTGAGCATTGTCTGGTTATGGATGAAGAATCTTAATAAAACTAGTTGTTTTATAATTGCCGAACAATTTTAATAACTTGGTTGTCTCCTTTCTTTCAGTGGATGCTAGCTGAGGAGTATGCAGCCCAACCATTTGTGCAGAAACACAAGCTCTTCGATTACGTTGCCAAGATATGCTTAGCAAAGAAAGATAAAGACTACACCGGCTTCTCTGCCGTTTCTACCAGCACTGTCTTCTCTGGCAAAAAGAGTAATTTGTACTTCAACAACCAGGGTGTGGAGCTGTGACAAACTTCTAATAATCAGCACCCAAAAAGGTTTTGGTGAACAGAATTCTTCAGTATAGCTGTGAGGACTGTTACAATGTACCTTTTGGTGGAATAATAACCCCTTGAAGGATTGCTTATAGTCTTTTTCATATATTTAGTCTTTCTAAAAATAAATTGAAGACTGGAGACAGAGTCTTCTTCTACTGCATTCAGCTGAGTAATTCAATCATTTGACAGAGTCCCACGTTGGAGATGTTGTATTGTAGAACAAATATTTATACATTCAAGTCATTTATAAAGTTCCAATTGTTCCTTCAAACTTTTTGGATTCTCAGTCATGGCGACTTCTTCTAGATGCTGATCTATTTCATGTGGCCAGGACTATGTCTTTGGCATAGCAAATGTTACTTTTATTACTGTGGTTGCTCATCTTCAATATATATTGTGGGAAAAATGCTTGTACCAACTGTACTATATTTCAATAACAACCTCAAAGGTAGTTAAGGTGATAACATTGATGAACTATAAATCTCGATATTTAGAGTTTAAATTTTGACAGTTCTTTGAGATCAGGTTACGATGGATTTCTCCCTCATAAATATTCTAGTCCTGACGTGGATGACTTACCTTGACCTGGATCAAAGAGAGGATTAATTAAAGTACATGTCACTTGACTCGGACACCCAAACAATTAGATCCAAAAAAAAAATGCCAATGACAGAGATCTTTTGTTCTATGGTACTGTGGTTTGCTTTGAATTATGGTGGTGAGACAATTACTACTTCGAGGGTGGTCCTTAGCATATTATTAAGGTTGCTCTATCTTAATCTAAGCGTCAAGTGTTCGAGTCCTGGAAACGCGAGATCCTTATGCATTGAACCCGCACTTATTTGTAAAGTTAGGACTAACCTTCGAGGTGTATATATTTCCTCCATGAATGCAGTTTCTTAACTCAGTGTGGCAAATGTTATCTATGTAGGCAAATCCATCTGGGCAATACTTCAAGTGATGCAAGTCCAATTCTTTTGTTATGATTAAAATTTTACCCTTCTTATATGGTGTGTTATACATCTTCCTTCCAAAAATATTATTTTTTTATAACGGTTTATAATGTCTGATAATTCAACCAACACACCCCTAATTAGTCTTGTCAAAATTAAACACGACACGATTAACTGATATGAATCGACACAAATTAAGCGAATTTGAGTTCGACTTTAATGGATTTGGGTGATAAACGGGTTAACCCACCAAACACGTACCGATACAAATCGATACGAATTAAGTGAGTTTAGATGAAACTTTAACAAGTTCGGGTAATAACTGATAAACAGGTCGTGTTTGGGTAAGACCTGTTAACCCGTTTAAAAAAAATAATACAATAATAAATTAATAATTATAAGTATTTTAAAAAAATTAGTCAAAATTCTTACTTCAAAAAAATTAAATATAAATTACTCACGTATCCCTTTGCTTGCGGTGATCGATATGGGAATAAATTTCAATCCAAACCCCCCTCCACCTCTCTCTCTGTTTCTTCTCTCTTTCTAGAGCATTATTGCAGTCCTACCCACCACCCACCTCTCTCTCTGTTTCTTCTCTCTTTCTAGAGCATTATTGCAGTCCTACCCACCACCCACCTCCTAGTTTCACGATCTGCGATAATATGAAAGGCACGATCAGTATATGAAGGCACGAACAGACCTGTGATAATATGAAGGCACGATCAGTATCATCTGTGTTCGAATTTATTTCCTCCTTTTGGGGTTTCGAAGCTTGAACTAAGGTAGACCGAATAAACTAAATCGGCTAACACGTAATCGTTTAATCCGACACCCCTACTTCAAATACCAAACAGCTCCATTAATCTATAATTATATCTTTTTTTTTTTTTCTTTCTATCGAATTTAAGTTTAAATTGCATAATTAAAAATAATTACTATTTAAAATCTAAATATCACATGATCAATATTACTAAATTTTTTTATATTATATCAAAAATTTTAATACAATCAAATTAACTAACGACTCAAACATATTAAGTTAACTCCAAGAGGGTTGAGTTATAATCAAAAACAAAAAATTTGGCAACGTTACCAACTCTTCCGGTGCATACTTTTTCAGTACCGACAAAAAAAAAAACCCATTTCATGGAAAATTTATCTTAGATTTGGACACCGACAGAAATAATTACACAATGGCCACTATTGATAACACAATGCCACCATGTATTCACAGAAATAATTACAGATAGAAGGAACAATTTCCAAAAAAAGTCCCACAAAAAAGTTTTATTATTTTTCAGCCCATAAACAATAAAAATCTGTGACCACAAAAAATTCAAAGAGGCAGCCAATCACCAAATGAATTTTAGTCGGTTACAATGAGATCTACTCAACCTATGATTGACAATGAGCTTGTTTGGATTTAGGTAATTTTTAAAGGTTTTAGAATAAAATAAGTCAAATTCGACTGAATCATGACTTTTTTGAAATAGTTTTTTTTGACCAAAAAAAGGATTATTAAGATTGATTCAAAAAATTGATTTTGTCAATTTTTCTTCTGATTTTTTGGAGTTTTGTCACGAGTTTCATATAATTTTTTAGTTTATTATATTCATAAAATATTATTAGTGATGTAAAAAATTTTAAAATTTATACTTTGAAAATTATTATGCATAATCTCTATACACATGTAATTATTAATTTTTTATTTTAACACCAAAAAGTCAAAAAAGTCAGAAACTTACTCAAAACGGATTTTTTTTTCAACTTTTTTAGCTTTTTAAAGACCATTCCAAATGATTTTGAATTTTTTTTTGAATTTTGATTGTTTTCTGAAAATTTGCAAAAGGTATTGTTATCTTTGCAGCCATACATACATGCCAATCCTTCTCAAAAGGGGGAAAGGAGCAGCAGTAGGAGGAGGTAGAAGAAGAAGAAGAAGAAAACAAAAAAGAAAAAGAGTGTTACATGCGGATGCATGTAAGACACGTTTCTGTCCTGCAACAATGAATTAGGTTTGATTCTCATTCATTTTGGAGGGTAATACTAATACAAACAATCTTAATGAGCTATAAATAAATTCCATTAATTGTACGACACGTTTCTAGAATTTATTTGTCATGGGGGTAAATAAAAACTTAATAACAACATAAAATAAAAAAAATGCTAACATTATTTTTTTAATATTAATTTTTGTTTAACTAACGAATTTATCCACGACTTATTTAACAATTGCTTAAATTTGAATCAACCAAGCTACATTAATCCAAAATATAACCCATAATAGGTTAGTTAAAACAATTTTTTAAAAATAAAATTTAAAGATCAAGTAATGTGTGGTCGATTTAGTTGTATAAAATATGCTTTTAATGTTGGATTTTTGGGGCACAAGTTATATGTAGAACACGACAAAAGTAATAAACTGGTTTACTATGAAAGACATCTAACACGATTAATTACATAAATTGGTTTAAGATTTGATTAATAATTGATATGAACTCGAAGTGCCATAACTCACGCGACGCGAAATGACTTGAATTTCACCTCTAGTTTCGAAAGGGAAGAGAAGAAATTAGAAATTATAAAAAGAGTTATATGAGAAGTTAAAATTTAATTTTAATTGGTTAATTTATATTAAAATGAAAAACTACCACAAATTATTTAACTTTCAATGGGGTAAGTTCTAAATAATGTTAAATTTATCAGAATTTCAAATAGGTCTCAAAATTTTTTGAAATTGGAGTCGGGGCTGCTGCCCCCATCATGCTGGATTTGAGCACATCCCTCAGGAGATAGTTACCCTGTTCTAATCTAAGTCAGGACACTTGGACCAGTTTAAAGGATTAGCGGCATAAGTCTAAACTCTCTATGACAAAATAAAAAATAAAAACATTGAACCTCTAAAAACATATCATAATGACCTTTATCTACCCGGCCCCAACCCCCCTCGTAACAGATTATATTTTTAAAGCATTCTCATTCTCTGGACTGTATCCTCCTCCATTGTGACCATAATTAGTCATGATGATGCATGCGATTCTGAGTTTGTTCTAAGATTAATACAATATCCCATAGGAGTATGTTGACTTGGTAAAATATTCGTGCTTTATATGAATATTTGAAAATATAAATTAGTCACAAACTTCGATCTTTAGTGTTATTTCTATAAAATGATTATCCTGAAATTCAAATTCAAATTCAAATTCAAATGCTTATGGTAATAGGTTAGACATTGAGCTTGTTTAGAATTAACTTAAATAGATAATTTTTAAAGATTTTGGAGTAAAATAAATTAGGGTCATTTGAATCTTGGCTTTTTATTAACTTATGTAACAACTTTTTGGAACCAAAAAAAAAAATATTAAGTTGATTCAAGAAAATGATTTTATGAGATTTTTTTTTGATTTTTTTGAAATTTTGTCACATGTCCCATGTAACTTTTTAATCTATTATATTCATAAAATATTATTAGTGACGTAAAAAAAATTTAAAATTCATATCTTGGAACTATTTTACATAATTCATATATACATATAATTATTTTTTTTTTATTTTGACAAAAAAAAAAACTAAAAAGCTAACACCCCAATGCAATTTCCCTAAAAATATATCTCAAATTTTGACACCGACAGAAATAATTACACATGGGCAGCACTGATCACACAATACAATGCCATTCTGTATTCACAGAAATAATCACAAAGGCAAATAAAAATTTCAAAAAAAAGCCCCAGAATAATTAAATTATTATTTTTAAGCCCACAAAAAAAATTAAAATCTGTGATCACAAAAGCATATCACCATGGCAGTATCCAAATCTCCTTCAAGCTGCTCAAACAAACGCCATTGTTGTGCCCAAAAACAAGCTCAAAATCACTGTCACAAACCACCCATCTCTAATCCTCCCAGACCCATTTTCATCGGCCGTCTGGTCCGCCGGATCTCCGACATCGGAAACATCAGGCCCCGGCGCCTCCGCCGCAGCCTCTGTAGTCTTCTTACCCTTCGCCGCCTTCGGAGCCGGTGCTGCCGGAGCCGCCTTGAACAACTCCCTTGGCAACAAAACCTTGTCAATTTTGTACACAGCCAACGGATCTTCATCCAAAACCGTCCCTTTTATCGTCGCCGTCACTACCTTCGTCTCCAGCTTCACGTCCTCACCGTCGTTCTGTACAGTAAAATCATACTTATTCGGTCCCTCAGTGGCCAGAGTGTTCATCAACCCATTGTTTGATCTTAACATTCCTAGTGAATTATAAACAGGAACACCATGATACATCAGCAATGAAACCTTCGCCGGATTAGTCAAGTTCTTGTACTTCGGCATGAAAGCGTTAATGACTGCGTCGGTCGGACAAAACACAGTTAAACCGCCATCGACATTTTGGGTGAAAGTTTCTTCAGCTCCGGTGCTTCTCAACAAGTCTGAAAATGCTTTACAGCCTTGTTTCGCCATCAGAGAGGTTAAATTATGGTCGCTCGGTGCACCAGCCGGAGCTTCAGCTTCTGGGGAAGATAATATATGGCTGATATGGATGACGGAGATGTTGTAAGGAATTTCGTCAACAGACTTGACGTAGACGGCACTGAGTGTGCCGTCGTTGTCTTCGGGGGCGAACCCAACTCGGCCGCCTTTCATGTCGGTGATGTTGACGTAGCCTGAGGTGCCGGGGGCTTTGCCAGTGGCTTGAAACATGGTGGCGGTGAGGGTGGAGCCGCCGGTGATCTGGTGGAGCTTCTTGGCACCGAAGTAGTCAGCGAAGATGTGGAGGGAGAGCACGTTCTTGATGGTGTAGATGGAGAGATGTTTGGCGAGAAGGTCCGACATGCCGGCATTGTCGACCGCGCAGACGGTGATGGTCTGGCGGCGATTGATTTCTCCGGCGAGATGGGTAATTGTTAGGTAGTGGTTGAAGGTGGAGAATTCGGGGTGTTTTGCCAGCATACGGGTGATGTTGTGAGCATGGGTGGTGGAGAAGAAGAGTAAGAGGAGGAGAGAGAGGGTGGGCACCACCGGCGGCGAAAGCTGCATTGTGGCGGAGGGGAGAGTTTAGGTTTGAAGTAGTAGAGGGGGAACAATGGATGAGGTCTGTGAGTTCAAGTTTGATTTGTGTTTATATATTCGGTGGATATGGAATCTATTTGGAGGGGTTTTCACACTCATTACTTACCGTTACATCAGATCTAGTGTAGTGTAACAAAAGAGTGTATTATAGATAGATTAATCTCATTTTGTACCCCAAAAAAATCTTAAATTTACATTTTTTGTCTTAAAAAATTTTAAATTTAAATTACACCCTCGATTTGTGTTTGAGCCTGAGGCACATTACAGATTTTTTTATGATATAGGGAATGCAATTTGAAAATTAAAATCTTTTAAAATAGGAATTAAGAAATCGATCACCTTCTAGTGTGTAAAGTACGATTAATCCTATGTATCTTAATTGAACTATTTTTGTCCATTCAGTTTATTCACATTTTCTTTTATAATCGAAATTGTCTCGATAATACAATCTACTAAAATCTTGTCATCTGAATATTTGATCTCGGATTTACATTATTTTCACAGCAACTAAATACTTATTTCATAGTGTTCTCTCTTTTGTTGTATTTATGTTCTTTGACCTCCTAGTTAACCCTTAAAAGAAGTTATTGTAAATATTTACATACCTGAACGCTTAAAGCATTCCTAATAATATTTTACACCTTTAAAAATTAATTTTTTTATATTGCATCTTTAATGTATTAAAAGTGCAGCGATGTAACTCTTTCATTTCTTTCTGCTACTTATTATGTCAAAAATTGTTCCAGTAATATTGGCAAAATGAGTAACAAAAATTAACTAAAGGGTCACATTATAACACATTTAATACATTGAGGGTATAATGTATAAAAATTTAATATTTAAAGATGTAAAGGGAGAATTCTTAAATCTTTAGGGTATAAAAGTACAATTTACCCTTTTTTTCTTTTACTATTGTGGTGCAATTTATGCGATTTGTACTGGAGTTGGTGGTTGTTGAGGGGGTGTTTTCGGATTAGTAGTTGATTGTCCTCGTTAAGCAATTAATAAGACTTTAAGCACTAAAAAATCAGAGTGAGAAGGAACATGAAAATGTGCAAGGAAGCTTTGCACACCAAGATAGGACAAATACAAGTGTATTAACTTACTATGACTTTTGGACACCATTGTTGATCAGGTGATTAGAATTCTTCAAATAATTCGTAAACTTGACAATGATATCGATAAGAAATTATTAAAATGACATGGTGGCTGTGATATTTTATAATTTTAGAACAAAGTATTTGTGCGTGCACGATCCTGCACAATATAAAAAACGGGAACAGATCTCTCCCCTGGTGAACTCGAGGCCCTGAGAAAGGAGTGACGGTCCTGTAAGGATAAAAAGAGTCCCTGGAACAAAGAAGAACGCGTTAGAAGGGCGTCAGAGTGTTTTCCGGCGTATCCCCTCCGACGGTCTAGTCAGTCTTAGAATGAGAGAGAGGAAGGAGAAAACACTGAGAAGGATATATTGTAGTAGAGAGTTTGTGATTGCATACCCGTCTTGCCTTTTACAAGGAGTATTTATACCTTAAAAGCTCATGATTGCTGTCAGTGTGGTCAGTAGGTGATCATTAGGTGCAGGTTGCGTGTGCATTGATTCTGATGAGGAATGTCTTCTCTAATTGACTGCTCGGGGTCCCGAGCGATTAATGTCGAGTCGTCGGGATGCCGACGGTACAATATGCTCCTCTCGGGGAGGATGCAATAAATGCTCTGTAATAGGAGTATTTATTGCCTTTCACTTCCGAGCCTTACCGCATTAAATGCGGTCTCATCAAGGAAATGGTGCAATTAATTGTTTGCTTTCCCAAAGCGCGTGTCAGCAACAGCATGCGATTTGTCTGTTTTTGATGTGATATCATATGCCACGCGTCCATCACGTATTGGCTATGACCTCTGTATTCCAGTATGTTCTGACATTACTTGTGTAAGACGAGGTCATGATAAATAGTCTAGACTGGCATAGGCTGATGACCTGTACGTCAGTAGCTTTATCCTAGAGTAGAGGAAGCGTCCAGGACGGAGTAACTCTCGGCACCGAGGAAAGGCTCACCTTGAGGACCGAGGGTGGTATATTACGAGGTACATGGGTGACCGAGGACACGTGTTTTTGTATATATATACCGAATGCATGATCCTATATGAGAGGTACCTCGGGGGCGAGGACATTCGTTGCCGATGGTGCTTAAATCCGAGCAACACTATTCCAGCAAACCGAGAACACGTGTCTTCATCATAAGACTTTTCAGAAAGGTCCCATCAGTATTGGTAATATCCACCTAATTCTACACGTGAAATCTAGTATCCCACAAACTCACTTTACTCTTTAAAGAAAAGTCTATTTAGTAAAGCATTTTACTCTCATACATGTATACATACCTGTACACATACATACCCACAAAAATATATGAATTTAGGAAAAATTATATTTTGACCCCCTTAACTATAGACTTGATTTTATTTTGTCCCTTGAACAATTGTGTTTTACACATTGTGTTCTCAATTATTTGATTTGATTTCACACTGTCCCATATGTAAAACACTTGTAATCTATTGTATAAAAATTGATAGCATGTTTGAGACAAAGTGAAACAAAGCACATGGTTCAGAGAATACGTGTAACTGACATTAATAATTGGGACAATGTAAAATCAATAACATGGTTGAAAGTACAATATAAGAAGCGTAATAATTGAGGGGACAATGTAAAAAAACCAAATTGAAAGGGTCAAAATGTAATTTGATTATGTAGGAGGGGGGGGGGGGGTGTGTGTATATACAACAATGGGGACCTCATTTGTAAGTGGCTTAGAATAAATCAAATGGTATGATAATTCTTTTTGACAACCCACCATTGGGATGCATTATTGGGGTGGCAGCTTTCAATGATGTCTTGCATCACAAGTGATTTACAGACTGTACTTGATTGTTCATACTTCACTGCCTTCCAAACGCAACAAGAAACGTAGTATCAACATAGAAGAATACAAAAGCAACGACAATTAATCAAAGGGATCAGACAGGTTAAGCCGCACCAAACCTCAATTGAATCTCAAATTATAATAAAAGCTTTTGATAACAATAATGCGATTTGAATCTAATTTATTGAACTTTTATGGGTGATTGTGTGGTTGAACTTATTCTCTAGTAACTTAAAGATTTCAGATTCAATCTTTTCTCATACTCGCTAAAATTTAGTCACCATTGTCCTTTTAGATACCTGTTGCAGACCAGTTCAAGTTAGGGGACTAGCCGCTGAACTCGAGAGAATAATTGACACAATTTTGAACACCTTATAACAAAAAAAAAATAATAATAATTTATTAATATAATTTGTTAACTAAATCTATCATAATTGTTGAATTAGTTACAAGTTTCAATAAATACCAAAATTTACTAACAATTTAATAATTTTAAATAATTAAATCAATAAATTAAATTTAAATAATTTGATAATTTATGATGAAAGGGCGGTGGGTGTCCATATCAGAGGTCCCCTTCAATGAACCCATTGAATACATATACTTTGGTGCCCCATAAGATTTTTCCTTTTCTTTTTCTTTTGTAGCCCTTTTCTTTTTCATTTGGTAAAGATGTGGGACCAATTAGTGTCGGTCGAAGCTTACTACCAAAAAGGCCAGTCTGGTGGATGGAGCTGCCAGGCATATTAGATGATGCCATGTGGATAGTCTTGTATAGTAGGTGTGCCATGGGTCCGAATCCAATAAAAAAAGATATTGTATAATTTATACACTTAAAAGGGTATATTTTATTTCTATTTTTTTTGGTCCATGAAATTCTAATTGCACCAATTATATACTTAAAAGTTTTCGTTTCAATTCAGTCATTCTATTAATTTCATTGTAATTTCGACAAAAATACATCATAAGACTTACCCATAATAATGTATTTATCTAGTAAAAAATATTTCTCTAAGATTTATAAATATTTATCTCTCAGTCTTACTGTGTCTCTAAAATTTTTACTTTGTAAATTTTTTTTTTTTGGGGGGGAATTTTTCTTCTTTTTTCCCAAAAATAAATGAAACAAAGTAAAATTTTTCTAGCATATGCATAAAAGATTTTTCATCAGACAAATATAATCATTTAGCTAAGTCAAGTTTTGGACAAGGAAGGTCATTTTTGTCATAATAAATGAGTGATCTTGAATATAAGGACTAAATTGAGAGTCAATTAAAACTTTAAGAATTTGATCATTAAAACTTAAACTTTAAGAACCAAATAGGAATTAAGTGAATGTTTTAAGGGCGTAAATTATAAAATTTGCCTAATAAAACCCTAATTAGAAGTGGATTTGTTATTTGATCCATAAAACTACGCCTTCTAAATTTTTTAGTAATCATACTTTGAGTAACATGATACCACAAGCGGAAGTGCAAACCTTATATCGGTGATATATAGGACATAATGTCAGTTTCAAATTCATTTGGATAGATAGTATGATTTGACAACATTGAGTTACGATTATTGTAAAGTAAACATAGGGTATGTCTTAGCCTTAACTATGAAATCAAATTTTTTCACGGCTATCTTCTCCTTGAATCCTGATTGGCAGCCTAGATTGAGCCTTGGGATTGATCTTCCCATTGGCTTTGCTACAATAGTACTCACATTGTAAGGTCAGCGCCCAATGTTTTTCTGTTAGACTTATTGAAAATAAAAAATTATCCTAAATTCAAATTTTTTTTCTTGTGTCAATAAACTCTCAATTCTTTGTCTCAAGACAAAAGTGATGTGAAGAGTAATCTTATTTCTTTGTAGAATTTGAGATCATGTAATTTGCAAATGAATATTTTCTATCATTTTTTTACTTTCAAAATTAAGGGTTGACTTAATTTTCAAATATTCAAACTTTAAGGGGGTAATTGTTGAAACTAAAATTAGAGTTAATTGATTGAATATGACCTAAACTTGCTTCCTTTTATACTAGACTAGATCTCCCCCTCCAAAATAATGTAGCACATTCACGTGGTCTCCATTTCTTTTTAATTTCTCAAAATACGATATAGTAAATAATGCATGCAGCTTAGAAGAAATTAACAAATTAAATTTGATTAGTTCTCAACATAAACTACAAAATGATTAAATTTTTTAATACAACTAACAATGGGTTGAATTAGTATTAAATTAAAATAACTCGGTTTGGACTTGATAAATCCATTTAAATAATATTGTATGAACAAAAGTCTATTTTTTTGTAATTTTTTTTTTCATTTGATGTTCTTTTTTAGGTAAGTAAGAATATTTTTTATGTTGTCCGTAAGTCCATCAATGGATCAGATTTTGATCTCAATCAGATTAGCACGACATAAATTGATATTTTTTGTTACCGATTATTGGAACCTGAACTCAAATCCAATATTTTATATTTCACGGATTTAGTTGTGGATATAACTATATTCGATCTGATCCAAAAAATTTATATATGTTTGTATAAATATTAAAGAAATTAAGTGATTATTTGAAGAAATTTAGTTAAAATTAAGATATAATTTGTTAAAATTTAGTTAAATTAAGTTATTCAGATCATATCTGATCGATTTTCAGATTAGATTTTGCATTGTTAATAAATTCAAATATAAACCACAAAAATAAAAATTTATCAAATTATCAAACTAAATTCAAATTCGAATTCCGATCAATCAGAATCCGATTCAAATCCAATATATCAACAGGTCTTGTTAGGTAAGTATCCTCGACACCAGAAGATAGGACTTCTGGGTAATTGCATATGTCCACAAGCTGAACCATGGGCCATCCTCAAAGGGTTGAAACATGCACACCAGAACACGATGCAGGAGACTGGGGAGAGAGACCGATTCACTTGAAGTATTCACACTTCTCACCAGTCCACTGCAAGAAGACGATCCTACTAATTAAACAGATCCGATTTGTTGACAGGCTTACTAATAAGACGTTGATCGCAGATTGCAAACACCCGATGAGAGCTAACCAAAGACTTAGTACTGGTGGTGAGCTAGGGTGAAAGATAAAATGGATCGTTACTTTGATTTTTTAGTTCATGAGGTAAACATGTTAACGAGAACTCGAAAATGATTAATGCACATGTTACGGATTGAATGAAGGTCACCTAGTACTCGACATGACTCTATCGAAACATGAATTCAAACAAAAAATGATACGGTTCGATTGATACCTCCGGATCACATAAACTCACACACCTTATTTTACAGTAATTTCAAAGTAAAATAAAATAGGTTATGTCAAAAAATATTTTATTCATATCTGATTCGTTTGTTAATTCATATCTAATGAATCATGTCATATTGGTTTCATATTAAAAAATACTTTACCTATACCTCACTCGTTTGTTAATTCGTCTCTAACGAAAAATGTCATACCATTTTTATGTTGTGTATGAGTCGTCTATAACTGTTATATAAATGAATCGTGTCGTTTATTTTTTTATTTTTTAATTAATTTATTTATATCTGATTCGTTTATTAATTATGTCGTACGACTTAAAAAAGACCAAAATCTTCTATTTTTATGTGGTGTTGTGTTATATTTTTAGATTTCTATAAATAGACAGGCCTAAGCAGAATCTAACACAGCAGTATTCATTTGCGGTAGATGTCCAACTCTTGCCACACACCTACTGTTCAAACTGAGCTGAGGTGGGCCCATTTTCTTAATGGGCCTCCGGCTGTGCTATTCAAAATCCGAATCACAAGGACGTGAAAATATTCAATATAACGATTACACAACATTTATTACCGTCTAATAATAATAAACAAATGGACAAGCAAATCCTCGTAAATACAATAACCACTCATCAATGTAATACAATAATTGTCTCATGTAAAGAAATAATGTTCAATTTATCCATTTTTAATATCTTTATTCGATAGTGACATTACATAACAATACTCATATACTATAAGAGTTATATTAAACATTTACTCAGCGAGCACGTCACATTGATAAAGAAGTAAAAATAATAATTTGGGAAAATAACAATTTAAACCCTAATTTTTTTTTAAAATTTTAATTAATATATAAAAATATTAAAATTCTCATATTGTACTCTAAATTATATAAAAAGGTAATAATGTGTAATTTATATGGTTGAGGATGCAATTAGAGAATTTTAATCTTTTAGTAATATAAGTTGAGAATTTAAAACTATCTTAAGGTGTAAAATGTTATTCACCGTACTTACTAATTATAAATGATCTTAAGGGATGAAAAATAGAAGATTTCGGATGAGAAGATTTCAAACGATTCTAAGTTTGACTCCCACTTGATGCATTGATTAGCTTATTATGCACATTACATTCGAAATTTACAAATTTATGGATTATATATGTATCTGGAGTTTATGTTGAAAGCATTGATCAAAATGACATTTGATTTGAGACGATTCTCCATTATTAGAAGTGCGTCGGTTGATCAAATGGCACGTTACAAGGTTAACATTAAGTATGTCAATGGTTGAGGTTTGAATCGGATTGCAACTTATCTAAATTTGAATTTAAAAGTCTGATTTGAATCCAATTCAATAATCTAATAGATTTTATTTTTAAAGCCTAACTTTAACTAAAAATTTTCAAATAATCACTTATTTTTTAAAACATTTATACTAAAATATATAAATATTTTGGATTGAATCATAATCGGAATCGAATAGAGGTATATTTATATCCAAATCTAAATACATGAAAACATAAGATATCAAATTCAGATAATGATAAAAAATATCAATCCATATTCGAATCAAAATCCAATATATTGACAGACTAGCTAACGTCTACCCTTGAGGGGTTGTTTGGTAAGTAGTATGGGGGGCTTGACAAGATGAGTTTAGGGAAAATAGTCCAATAAACTCCCAAAACCCTTGTTTTGATGGCTTTTTCAAGCCATAGACAACAGTCTCCTCCCATAGCTGGCCCGATACTTTAAACACTTGAATATGAGTTTCATCAAACTCATGGGGCGTGGGTTCTAGTCAAGCCCTACACAGATTAGTTAGACAAATGTTATTTGTACTATTGAGTTAAACAAAAATGAGTATGAATTGAATTAACCAATGAACAATATTGTCATTTATAAGATAAATATATGATGATAATGGTAATACATTGGCGAGTTTGGCATGTGTATGAGTTATATTCCAAACATGAGCATGAATTAAATTCGATAATAAATCCCATTGAAACAAAAGTGAGGGTTGGATTTGAAAAAATCAATCCAATTTCTTCATCCAAACAAGCCACGAAGGTCGGCTCCAATACCTCTCACACCTTTTTTTAAGTCAGGAATTGTAGAAGTAAAAAGGGTCCCACTCCCACATAAATATAAATCAAGAAAAACAGGAACACCATGAAATCTTGTTGGCAAAAAACATAGTGGAGACATATGAAGTGGACATGTAACTAGCTGATGTTGCCCACTCTCAATTGCTGATAACTTATCCTCATGGCACCAAGTTCTCTAAGTAGGAAATCAACTCAACTCAGCCTAGTTGATTAACTTTGATACTCTCACGATTAGGTCATATTTCATTTCTCTATGTTCTTTTTAAGATTTATCTTCATCTGTCCGTTAATGTTTTCTCTTTTGTCATAAATACATTACCCAAACGCTATAATATGAATTTAGTGATGTATGTAGAAAAATAATTTCTTCAATTGTAAATAATAAAAATGAATATTGATTGATATCGTGTTGAGTTGAATCGCGACATGCTAAATTTGGTTTCCGTAAATTATTGACACTACTAGTGTAGTTTTCTTCTTAATCGGAAAATATTTTCATTATTAAGTAATAGAGATGTCCATTATTTACTAGACAAAGTTACTCAAAAATCATTAATTTATTTTTAGGTTACTAAAGATTAATGATTTAGAATTGTTGTAGACATAATATGTCACGGATCAAGTTCAGACCAATGCTAAATTGACATGTCCAAATTGATTTAAAGCATCAATTTAACCCGCCCCAATACAGGTGACAAGAACATAGTGTGCAATAAAATCACGGTTACAAACAATTTTTTTTCTATTACGACTACAACGACTAGATATGAGATTAAAATTGATGATCTCTCCTCTCTCAAAACGGGGTTAACCATCACAAAACCATTTCGGATAGACCTATAGCTCTTAACAAGAACAGACCACTCATTACCAACTTTAAAGAGCCTTTGCAGTAGTGCAAAAGTGTGGTTCCCTTAAATAGCTTTAATTTTTATGCAAAAGATGATATGAAAAATAATGTCGTTTAAAGAATAACACCTAGGAGAAAGCGGCAGCCACTCCTTTGTGCAAAGTTTAGTACAGAGACAAAAAAAAAAAAAGCAGAGGATAAAAACATGAATCAACTTTCCAAAAATAGCAATATATATAGATCCCTGTCAAATTAGTCCAACACGCTGCCAGAAATCTGATGACTGCTCTGAAAAGGAATAGAAAGAAATCACAACCTCCACACAACCATTTAAAACGACTTAGCAGTAATAGTACATTTACTATCTTCCTCTTCTCTTCCTTGAAATACATTTACCAGTGCCCCACTATTAAATATTAAAATCTGAGCCCTATTTCATTATCACTTCTAATATGTTATCTTTCCATGAAATTACACATACAACCCTTTAATTCACAAAATTATCAAAACCAAACATGTCTCTACCATAGTACTATTCACTCGTCAATGATAATACACGAACATTAGTACAAATATAAGGAGAAAAAAAGGCCCTAAAACAGTTACCTCGGAGTCTACAATTGGGTGCCCATAAAAGCACCACCTACCTTGGCCTCACAGTGGAAGCTCCACCACTACCACCACCACCGCCGCCCACACAGCCTGAACTAACCTTCCCCACCACCCCACCCCCACCACCACCGCCCATCTTATGATAAGAACCAGAACCATACATCTGCCCCTGATGGTAACCACCAGAACCGTACATCTGCATCCCACCATATATCCCACTACCACCACCATTAAACCCACCACCACCGCCACTAGAACTCACCGCCCCATCTCTCCCACCACCACCACCACCACCTCCACCTCCACCTCCACCTCCACTCCCATCTTTCTCCCCCTGCCTACCACCACCCATCGCGCTCTTCTCACCCTCCAGCTCCCTATACTTCGCCAAATAAACCTTCAACGGCTCAACATACTCTTCAAAACCCAGCGTAGTCATGGCCCACAACAAATCATCCCCATTAATCGTCTTCCTTTTCTCTCTCTGACACTTATCCGACGCTTCGCCGGTGATAAAGCTGATGAACTCCGACACGCATTCTTGAACTGTCTCCTTCGCGTCCTTGGAAATCTTGGCGTTCGCCGGAAGTGCTTTCTTCATTATCCGGCTAACGTTGGCAATCGGCAAGAGCCTGTCCTGTTCCCTAGACGACATCTCGCTGTTCGCGTTGTTCTGACCTCCTGATTCGTTATCCGAATCCGCCATTGTTGATGATTTTCTTCAAAAAAAAAATCAATCAGCAACTAAAATACGAACCACAAGTTGATATTAAAGCTTCTTTCTGGAAATACCCATAAATTCCTTGTGATTTTTCCAATTGAGAAGTGGGTTTTCCGGGGAGGAGTGAGATTTGGCGGGAAAAGTTTAGAGGGAGGTTTTGGGATTGGAAAACTTTTTTTCCGGTTTGGAAGCTCCGGGAAGGTTGGGGGTGCAGAGGAGAGAGAGAGAGAGAGAGAGAGAGAGAGAGAGGTGAGAGAGTGAGTTGGGTCCGTTGGATTGATGGTCTAATATCGCGTGAGTGCGCCACGTGGGGAATTTGTAGCCGTTTATTTGTCGATAAGTGTGAATTACGTGGGAGATAGTGGGTGTTGGATGAGTTGCGGAGATTGAGAGATCTAACGGTTGTGGAATGAGTCATGTGGTGGGTGAGTGGGCCCGATTGGGCAGATGGTATCCATGGAAAAAGGTTTGGAGACCGTTGAGAATCGGCAATCGGGTAGGATTGGTCGAATTTTTTTGGGTCACACATCAAAATTCGATACGACATAATTAATCGACACAAATTAAATAGGTTTGAATGAGATCGTAATAGATTGACACGTCAAACACGTTTAATAAATGAGTTGTCTTTGAGTAAGACTTGTAAAATTATTTATCACACGTTTATCCGTTTAAATAAAATTAATATAATAATATATTAATAATTATTATAAAAAATTAGCAAGAAAAAAATAAATAAATAAATCAATAAAAAAAAAAGTAAAATAGTAGTTCAAAGATAAAAGAGAGGAGATGAGGAGCACTTCAAAGATAAAGACAAACCAATACATTTTGTTTTTATTTCACATTAAAAAATGAGGGGAGATGTGGAGGGTTGAGTTGCCTATAAAAAACAATAGTCTCTTACTTTGTTTTTTTTAAGCTTTCAAGTCTTATTTTTATGAGATTTGGTTAAAAATTTTTCTTTTTTGAAGTAAGTGCAATTAACAATAAAAAAAGTGGAGTATTAAAATTTGTGAATATAATTTTTTTAAAATTAAACGAGTTAAACGAGTTATGTCGTGTTATCCGTTTATTAAACGGGTCATGTTCGTGTTGAAATTTTTTACTCGTTTATTACACGTGTCATGTACGGGTTTATATATTTTTCACCCGTCACCCGTTTAACCCGACACGTTTGACACTCCTAATTATACATTCATTAATCATATTAAAATTAATAGTAATGTTACACTGACCATATTTTGTGACTAAATTTAGAGCTCAAATGACATGACAACTGAATTTTTATTGGGATTCAAATGACATGACATCAATTAAAGAAGCTCAAGTCAGCTGCTATGTCATTTAGACTTCAAATTTAGTCCCAAAATTTGGTCAGTGTATCATTACTCTAAAATTAAAGAAATTTAAAAAACTCTTAGAAGTAGTCTAATAGTTAAGTTTACCTTTTTGCAAGGAAAAAATCTTAGGTTCGAAGGGTCAATCATTCTTGTTTCTCAAGAAATGTGTTTAAACTACCTTAAGTTCGATATTTTTTACATTCTCTAAAGTTCAATCACTCTTACTCCTCATTAGATATGTCTTTAAACTAGTTCGAATAATGATAGTCGGCTTAAAACTCGAAAAATAATTAGCGTAAGTTTGTACACACTATAACAAAAAGTAAATAAATTTAAATAAAATGTAATGACTTAAGAAAAAATAAATTTAAATAAAATGTAATGACTTAATATCAAAATCTTAAATCGTAATATGACTTGTTCGTTGATTTGGTAACACAAGAAAACTTTAATGTTATTTTTTCAATAAATAGGTCGTGTTGAGATATATGAATTTCACATGTTATATAGGATTGATTCTAAAAGATAGAAAACTTAGACAAATTTCACTAGTCCTATTGGTATCGCTGATTATTTTTATATTTATATACTAAATCTATAAAGTGATAATTTTCAAATTCAGATAAACCCTAAAGTTAATTTAAAAAAAAGGCCAATCTTAAACTAAATTCTATTTTTTAAAAACAAAAGTTTAGAACGCGAAAATAAAAAAGCATTGGTGCAGAGATTCAATGGAGACTACTTTAACAAATGGAGTTTATTGTGTTGCATTGATATAAAAATTCTTCCATTGAAACCATGGAAAGTATAAAGAATAACCTTATACACATACATACTTAAATATCATATTAAATGACTAGTTATTGCTTGAGTCTAAAGGTATAGAATAATAAAAAAATAGTCAACAATAAATATATTTATATTCACACCCAAAATCAAATTACAAATATAAAGTAAAGAAAAAAATTTAAGTACTAGTTGTAGTGGGAGTGAACGGTGATAGTGGTGGTGGTGAAAGACGGTGATGGTTATGGTGGGTGGCGACAACCGTGGTGATGGTGGCAGTCATGGATTGCAATGATGATACTGGTGGTGAATATTTGGTGACGATGGTGGTAGTGACAGTCATGAGTGACGACGATAGTGATTGTGAGCGACGGTGATGGTGGTTGGAAGCGGTGGTGGTGGGGCGACGATGGTGATGGGTTGTGGTGGTGAGTAGTGATGATGGAGCTGGTGGACGACAACGAGTGATTCTAGACAATAGTGTGATGGGTTGTGATAAATAACGATGATGGTAGTGGTAGTGTTGGTAGGTGTGGTAGGGGTGAGTGACAGTGGGTATCAACAGTGGTGGACAATGACGATTGGTGGTGGTGGTCGGAGGTGATAAGTTTGATGGGGGTGGGGGACAGTGATTGGTAGCGATGGTGGGCAACAATGGGTGGTGGTGGGCTGTGATAGTGGGCAACGATGGGTGGTGGTGAGCAACAATGGTAGTAGTGAGAGTTAACGGTGGAAATTATTTTTGTTTTTTCGATCTAATAATAAAACTAATTCCATAAAGATGGATACTTGTTTAGGATATTATAAAATAGTAAAAAGATTTAACTAAAGTGAAAATATATCTAAGAATATTTGAAGATGCCCACAATTATTACTCAATAAAACACGAGGCATTTAAAATCAAGGCCACAAGTCTATGAGTAAATGAAAAGTCCGATGATGCACAAAATAGTCTTGTGCAAGATCAATAGTCGAGTGTGTGATAAAGTATAATTAATGGACAATAAATAAAACAACTAATAGTAGTAATGTAAATATTGAGTCAACACACACATATCTATATTGGTTCGGTCCGGGTGATCTATTCCACTCTGGAAAACGACAACGATGGCCGGGAGCTCTTTATTGATGAAGTTAGGTAAACATGGAAGAGAACAATTGTTAGTTCCGGGAGATAAAATAACTAGGAGAGAGAAGCTATGTGTATGTAGAGAGGTGAAGTGAGATACCAAGATGAGGACTCTCATGTGGAGAGGACTTACAATTTTATAGGCATTGAGAGGCAATGACATGAGAGTAAAGGCACTAGAATCTCAAGAGGATAACTATAAAAGGTAATTACAATTAAAGTAGTTTTGATCTTCGAGAGTGTGTATCCCAATGATTTCTCCCCTACGTGCTCTTTTCTTCATGGACTCCTTGAATCTTGGATTGTGTCGGATTGGTAAAGCGGGCTTAGGCTGCCTTTTGGTTGACTTTGGCTTAATGAATTTATTGGGTCTGACCCAGTTAGATCTAGGCTCGTCATTCCCCCCCCCCCATGCCCCAAGTCCTTTCTGTGTAAAGGAATTTGAGGGCATGAGTGAGCTCCTTCAACTAGATAGGCACGGGGCTTTTTGTTCTACACGGTGACTTTACCCTAGAAATTAAATTCTTCATCTCTCGATTTTATTGCAACACTGTCATCAGGTTAGAAGAAATTTTACCTCTTCTCACAAAAAACCCATTTTCCTCTATTTACAACGAATGGAGCTCCCCAGTAAAGGGTGGCAACGCCTTGGGCGACACCTTGCATCAATTTGGCGACAATAGTCAGGTGTCATCAAGCAACGCCTTGGTGAGGTCGGCGCCAGTCGCTATGGGGTGAAGCTTTAGTGAGGGATGCTAACACCACTGGGGGGCTTGAATGGCGATGCCAAATAAGGAGGCTTCGTAGGCGGCACCTTAAGTGCTGATGAAGAGCTAAGTGGCACCAAGTGTATAAAGGATAGCTTGGGCAGCGCCAAGGCGTTGGGTGACGTTAGGTGGACAGATGGGCGACGTAGGGCGCTAGCTGGCCTGGGCGACGCCAGGCATGGGTGCTGGCTAGTGCTGGCGCTGGCTACTCGCCCTAGCGCCGTGTGCTAACTTGGAGCTGGAGGCAACACTTTGGAGTATAAGGTTGGTCTTGGCAACTCCATGGAGGCCTGAGCGATGCCAGAAGATTAGAAAACCATGAAAAAAATGATAAAACTTTGAACGACCATAACTTTGAGCTTAGTTGTCCATTTAAGGCAAAAAAAATTTGAATTTGGGTATTTTTTCGTGATCTACAACATACAAACCACCATGGCGGTTTGGTCAACAAATTTTTCCAAAAATGCTTCTATCTCTCTGAATTTGAGTTTTAAGCACAAATTAGTGAAACCGACAATGGTAGGAAGTTGCATTCTGACAGGTAGCTGTCAAACATTCAAGGGCGATGGATTGGCATTCTGGGTTTTTGCCACAGAGAAAGACTATGATGGCTTTCGACTGGGTAAAAAGAGAATCTGTTTTCTGCTTAATATTTTCTCGATGTTAGTTCTTTATACTGACCTTGTCTCTAATTACAAGTGCCCTATTGATAGGGCGATTGGTGGAGACTTTTTGTGTATTTAGGGTGGTGTCTTTCCCTCCTCCCAAGAGGGTGAGGTTTGATGCCCCTAGTGCTTCTTGGTTAAGGTCCAATGGCTAGGTTAATTCCCTGGAGATGGGATCCGATGGTGCCCCCACTCCTTCCCAGACTGTGACTCTTGTGTGTACCAGAGCTAGCCCTTGTACCATTGTAGGAGTTGAGACTCCAATACGATCTTCTACAGGGACTATAGCTCCACATAGTTGTCCTTCTTATAGTAGTGGCTCGGTGTCAATGCTTTGACTTGACTTTGGTCAAGAAGCGACTTTGGAGGTCTGTGAGTCCTAGGGATATCAGAGAGGTTGGATCTCAAGGTCCAAGGGGCATTACCAATACCGTGATGGAAGGGTATTCCATAGTATGCCTCTCTTCTTAACTATGATTTTGTACTCGCCTCCTTTCCGTCATGATCTATTTTTTGAATGCTTGAAGGCGGCTGTCGCTTTTTTCTGCCTTTTTCAAGGACGATCAAAG